ATTTCAGGGCAGTATAAGTAAACCAGAATTCTAAAAAAATATTCTTAATCTGTAGTATTTTAATTTACTATACCAGAGTTTGTACTAGACATAGACAATCAGCTGACATGCACTGATTAACATTAGTTAATTACTTTTTTTTACACCAAATATAAGCATGTAAATAAGCTTTTTTTATGATTAATTCAAATATTACTCATACCAGCTATTCTACTTAATGGTTCTCACCATCAAAATGTAAATTATTACACATGTACTACACTAACATTATTATCTCCTAGTTAAGAATAACAATGTATTCATCAATTTAATATATTACAGTATCTCTTTACCTATATTATTCAGGATGGTAGAACATACAGGTACTACCAGAATGATAATACTACAACATTTTAACCTATAGTTTTGTAAGTTCAGTGCAGATACATCATAATAGTAACTTTAACATATTTGAAAGAAGAAATTCCAGCAGGCAATAAGGAAATGATAATTAAAATTATGTAACAGACTTTTCTATAGAGTAAATATTTTATCTCTAAACAAAGAAGTGTGAGAGAAAAAAACATTTTTAAAATCATTTAGTCAGTTTCATACATAATTGGCTGTATAGTGCATTCCCTTACAAAAAAAACAAACATTTAATTGGTGCCATTCAGTTGTTAATCTCCTGCCAAGGGACTTCTTCAATGACATAAAAATCAAAATGGCTTATAACTTTTAACCACAATATCATGTAACAACATGATATAACCATTTCTAACTGGTGACAATCAATATATCTCTAATGGTTGACCTGAAACACTCTATGTTTTAACACAAATTTATTTTTATGGAAAAGGAATACATGAGTGAAACTGACAAAATTATGATGAATTAAGGCAATAACATACACTGTAAGCTGATGAGAGACTACACTCAAGTTCAATAAGATTTCCAGTTGTCCACATATAGCCATGGTGTATGAATGTACACTCACTGCAGAAGAATGAATACAATAAAATATGACATCTTTGTGCATGTTAAATTATATCAATCTATTATTATGTAAAGATAAGAATTCTTATAATCATAAAACTTGCATTCATTTCATTGTGGTTAATATCCTATATATCTTAAAATAAAATATGCATGAAACATAAATAAAACTTTGATATAATTCTAAATTTGAGAAAAATGATGTCAGATATATAAAGATATCATCATTTTTTATGTCAGTATTTTGTGTTGAATCATTGTTAAAAAGTCTATGGTGTACAAGTATGTGATAAGCGCATCAATCAAACATCATACTTCTATAAACATATCTTATACTACAAATACCAACCCATTAAAATAAACTGCAATAAGAAAAGGCTATTTTATAATGCACCACTCAAACAACTACATGTATGTCATTTTATAGTGTACCAATCATACAACTATGTCATTTTATAATGGACCAATCATACAACAATGTCATTTTATAATGCACCAATCATATAACAATGTCATTGTATAGTGCACCATCATACAACAATGTCATTTTATAATGCACCAATCATACAATAATGTAATTTTATAATGAACCAATCATACAACAATATCATTTCATATAGCACCAATCATACAACATTGTCACTTTATAATGCACCAATCATACAACAATGTCATTTTATGAGGCACCAGCCATAATCATACAATAGTGTAATTTTATATGGAACCAATCATACAACAATGTCATTTCACAAAGCAACAATTGTCACTTTATAATGCACCAATCATACAACAATGTCATTTTATAATGCACCAATCATACAATAATGTAATTTTATAATGCACCAATCATACAATAATGTAATTTTATAACAAACCAATCATACAACAATGTCATTTCATAAAGCACCAATCATACAACATTGTCACTTTATAATGCATCAATCATACAACAATGTCATTTTATAATGCACCAATCATATAACAATTTCATTTAATGAGGCACCAGCCATAATCATACAATTATGTAATTTTGTAACAAACCAATCATACAACAATGTCATTTAATAATGCACCAATCATACAACAATGTCATTTTATAGTGCACCAATCATACAACAATGTCATTTAATAATGCACCAATCATACAACAATGTCATTTAATAATGGACCAATCATACAACAATGTCATTTAATAATGCACCAATCATACAACAATGTCATTTTATAATGGACCAATCATACAACAATGTCATTTTATAATGCACCAATCATACAACAGTGTCATTTTATAATGCACCAATCATACAACAATGTCATTTTATAACAAACCAATCATACAACAATGTCATTTAATAATGCACCAATCATACAACAATGTCATTTTATAATGCACAAATCATACAACAATGTCATTTTATAACGCACAAATCATACAACAAACCTGTTTGAGATATGTCATTTCAAAGACTACCTGACTAATTATCTCAACTTGATATTATTATGTGAGTAGAACAGTAGAACATTTTACTCAAACACTTTACTAGGATTGCAGAATAAATTAATATTCTACCATACAATATGTTCAATGATCTTGTGACAATTATGTTCCAATAAAATCTGTAAATTTTTATTTTCAAGTTCACTAAGAAGGCAAAAATTTTACATCTACAAAAATCTTTTGGATCCGATTTTACCTCTGACTTTATTGCACCCTGCAGCTTATACTGATGTTAATTCAAATCTATCATAAAGATAAAATAATGTTAATACAATGTACAATACAAGTCTGATGGAACATTTTCAATTTCAGGCAAACGAAGCTGAGTATCAGTGTGCAGGTCTTAGTGACATTTGTGAAGCTGAGTATCAGTGTGCAGGTCTTAGTGACATTTGTGAAGCTGAGTATCAGTGTGCAGGTCTTAGTGAAGCTGAGTATCAGTGTGCAGGTCTTAGTGAAGCTGAGTATCAGTGTGCAGGTCTTAGTGAAGCTGAGTATCAGTGTGCAGGTCTTAGTGAAGCTGAGTATCAGTGTGCAGGTCTTAAGTGAAGCTGAGTATCAGTGTGCAGGTCTTAGTGAAGCTGAGTATCAGTGTGCAGGTCTTAGTGAAGCTGAGTATCAGTGTGCAGGTCTTAGTGAAGCTGAGTATCAGTGTGCAGGTCTTAGTGAAGCTGAGTATCAGTGAGCAGGTCTAAGTGAAGCTGAGTATCAGTGTGCAGGTCTTAGTGACATTTTTTGTATCAGTGTGCAGGTCTTAGTGAAGCTGAGTATCAGTGTGCAGGTCTTAGTGACATTTTTGTATCAGTGTGCAGGTCTTAGTGAAGCTGAGTATAAGTGTGCAGGTCTTAGTGACATTAGTGGAGCTGTGTATCAGCATGCAGGTCTTAGTGAAGCTGAGTATCAGTGAGCAGGTCTTAGTTAAGCTGTGTATCAGTGTGCAGGTCTTAGTGAAGCTGAGTATCAGTGTGCAGGTCTTAGTGAAGCTGAGTATCAGTGTGCAGGTCTTAGTGAAGCTGAGTATCAGTGTGCAGGTCTTAGTGAAGCTGAGTATCAGTGCGCAGGTCTTAGTGACATTAGTGAAGCTGTGTATCAGCGTGCAGGTCTTAGTGAAGCTGAGTATCAGTGTGCAGGTCTTGGTGACATTTTATTGCCAATGGGAAGACATTAAAGTTAATAGACTAACTAAAATACCTGACAAATATAGAGAAGTTTAAGTTGACCTCTATAACAAGTTCACCTTATGTCATGATACTTGTGATTAAGTACATTTTGGCAGTTTTAACTACAAATTTTGTTTCCATGAATAATTTATGGTTAATTTCCTTATACCAGTCTAGTTTGTTAATGTGAGGTAATATTCTCCTATCTATCAAACATATCGTAACCTGTCAGCTAAATGTGTAAAAATTACAGTAACTGACAGCTATGTATTTAATAATTCACTAAACTGTACATTATGTAAAAGAGACATTTTAATTTTTGACAGAATGGACTCTATGACATGGCTGCAGATTTCAATTAACATTGGTTTTTATGAATCAATATTTTGATAAGTCATGCTCATATAAGATGCACAATGCGTTCATGACATGAAATTACTTTTAAATAGAAAAACAACAATTCATTGGTTGTCAGTTGCTGAAGGTTCTTGCATGTGATGATAGTGTACAATACATGTCACATTATCATTAAATGAAAAACATGCATGACTTTTATGTTGTGTTATGTTGTGTTGTGTTTGTTTGTTTGTCAGTTTATTGCTAAGGTAGATTTCTTCAAATTGAAACTACTAGTCATAAATGTATGATTTGTGTGATTTGTATAAGTAATATGATTTATGCTTAAATTTCTTGCTATAAATGAATATAATTAACTCCTATAATAAAACTAGAAGGGATTTCTGTCACATAACATAATTATGTCTCCCAACATGCGATGGTACTATCATCACTCCTGTTTTGTTGAAATCCCTCCAGAAGTTTGGCCTGTAAAAGCCAGACAATATTTTTCTATTTAAAGCTCTGGCGGCCATTTCGTGCAGCGTATCTGAACCTGCTGGCAACATGCACAACAAGGGATTGTACTTGTACTGATGACTCCTGTGAAGTTTGGTTGAAATCCCACCAACAGTTTGACCTGTGAAAGCCGGACAAGCTTAATGCAGACAAACTGATGGACAGACAGACAGATGGAAAAGGCAAAAACAATAGATCTTCAAAAATTTGGAATTTTATGGAGACTCAGACATAATGACGCTTGCTGTATTTCCATTATTATATATATGAACTCAACTAAGAAAAACAAGTCACTCATTGAATTTAAATCACTTGACTGAAATTTTTAGTAATCTGAGATACATAAAATTAATACTAGTGAAATATCTCTACCTGTAATGACACAACCCAATAATAATAAATATGAAAATTATATGATACATGGCTCTTAAGACAGACAACTCCATTTCAATATCCCACTTCTAATATCATTGGCCGAGATAAAAAGGACTTAAAAACAATTCTTCTTTTACCTGTGAAATCCCTTTCCATCGATTCTGACAACTATCCAGCAGTTAGGTAAAAGTTTGTCTTCTGTCTCGAACTGTTTCACATACTCAAATTTACTTTTTGCCATCTTAACAAACTAACAATTACCATCACACTTAACATTCATATACTGAAAATATAAAAAACAAACATTATAAGTAATATATATATACAGACAATAAAAATGATGGTGATATATTTATATACACACACTAAAATATATATAATTCTAACATGATTAAAATGAATTATAATAATGCTCTAATATAGACTTGTCTCCCTAAACCCCAACCTTCATGCAGTATAATCATGGTTCTATGCCAGTGTTCAGTTATATTCAATATTTATTCATTAAGCTAAAATTATATCTTTGAAGTTACTACAGGCAAGAAGAAACTAATAGACCCAGTTATTTACTGCAAAGAATGTTACTGTAAAATGAAACACAAATGTACATAATTAGTTTAACTAATTTTATTTCAACAATAACAACAATTTTAGTGAAATTGATAATTGTCCCCTGCATGATGTTTTTGTCAAAGCTAATAAACACATCCAAACTAATCCCTAAACCAATCATTCCTCCCCCCTCTCCCCACACACTCCTCTTAAATCACAAAGTCTTAATGTACCTTTTTATAAACAAGTCAAATACTTAAAACCTTCCATCCAACAGGTAAGAATGAAAGAAGGGAAGACAGACACTTTATTGGTGACTTAAAATAATTTGCTGCTTTTTAACACAATAATATTCTTCAGGGATCATAAAGAGTTGGGTTTTTTTTATATTTAAAACATTACAGTATAGTTTTGCAACAAATTACCCAAATCTGACTTTAATTTGAAAATTCTTCAATAAATTGCTAGCTGTGATCTATGTATTAACACTTTATATCTCTGATATCTAAATTAACCTGCCGAAAATCTCCCTATATAAATCAAATATAACTTAATTATCATAAATAAACCATTTTCAATACAATCAAAGTCTTATCTGTATGTCTATAAGATAAAATAAACACTCTGAATTTCTGGTATCATGTTTCTAATATAACAATCTATTCAAGGTTATAAAATGTTTGATGTTATATCATTATACAAGTTTTGTAGACCATATAAATGTCAATATATTACACACAAATTGACCAGTACAATATCTATGGTATTACAATATTATAATACAAATAATAAATCAAAGATCACATTCATTTTGTATTCAGCAGGATATACTTCTGATAAACATTTCAATAAACATAATAAAGAATGAAGAGATAAGTTTATATTTCACTATAATGGCCAATCAGATCAACAATATTGTTATTTACATAATAAATAAAGCCTTGATTAAAACAAGACAAGAAAAAAGTGAAATAATTAAATCACAGAAATAATATATTGAGCCCCGTCATGACAAAACCAACATAATGGGTTTGCGACCAGCATGGATCCAGACCAGCCTGCACATCCGCGCAGTCTGATCAGGACCCATGCTGTTTGCTTACAACTCTATAACAAGTAGAGAAACTGATAGCGAACAGGCTGGTCTGGATCCATGCTGGTGCAAACCCATTATGTTGGTTTTTTCATGACACGGCTCACATTGTTTATTCACCTTGTGTTGATTTCAATCAACAATATACTTGTTTTTATTTTAATTTATATCATAACTTTTATTTTATGAATTATTTAATAACGGTGCTTAATTACACTTTATAACTATCATTATATTACAAGCTTATATTTATAGGTAATTATTCAAATATAAAACTATGTGATAGAGACAATATAAAACTGTTTTGTATAGTTTTAATGGTCATTTAAAGATTAATTCATTTCCTTGTTTATAAATAAATACATTCTATGTTTTACTGTCATTTTGTCATAATATATATTCTGTGGTAAACATAGTATGCAGATAAATATTTGTTTGCATAAATATGTGAACCAGTTTTGTACAGAAGACAACAATGAATACAACATCATTATAAACTTATAATACAACAATGAAATCAGAAGATATTTATTCAAACATTTCTTTATTAGATAGACTGAGCAAATGTCAATGCATTTAATCATTTAATATCAGGGTAAATCATCACCTTAGTCCAGTAACAGGTTTAGTCCTATAAGTTAATAGGAGTTAACCAGTTATTGCCCGAAAGTGATGAAATATCTTAAATCTGACAAAATGTGCTTCCTTAAAGACACCATTGAGCTTAAATTTGGCGTGACATTATTTTTAGGGAAAATTTCTGATCTTGGTCTGCACTGGTCACATACAAAGGATAAATATACATAATAATATACATCAATGAAGCCTTGGGGATGATACAGAGAAAAACAATGATTCCCTTGTTAATTGACAACTTAAATAAAATTCACTTATAAAAACAAGATCAGTACAATGAAAGGTATACTACAAGTTAAACAAGTATACAGACATAATAACAATTACATATATACAAGGGCAGCGTCCATTATATAAGTCATGGTCAAAAGTGTCAAAATACATGTACATAATACCTGACAGACTTCTAAAAATAAATTTCTAGTCTTTAATGAGCCATTACTGAGCAAATATGCAAAAAAACCAGCATGATATCATTCAATTTTGATTATACAGAACAAATTATAAAACTACCTGGTAATTTATAATGCAATGCGGCCAACCCTCCAACAACATGCATAAATATGTTACCTGACTTTATGTTAATGTGTTTCCTTTTCTAAGTATCACCTAAAGTACTAAACTTTTTATGTCATTTTTAACCACCTTCTTATATGAGACATACACATAATTATTGTCTTTTGAAATTCTCAGTGCACTCAATTTTTTACAGTCTAAACTGTATAAGATACTGCTCAAGAACTGTTTGATGTCTGTCTTTATTAACAATGTTTTCATTTTCTCTTCACTGTTGATGATCACTTCACTATGGGCAATTCATATATTTGCTATTTTTTCTATACCTGTTATAAACATATTTCTTCTTACACTTATATAACAACAATCACAACATATTCAGGTATTTTTCGACAGTAATTAACTTTTAGATCACCACTGTGTCATCCAGCACTAGATGCAGATATTGATAACCATCTGCTGGGCCGTGTCAGCGCTAGATGCAGATATTGATAACCATCTGCTTGGCCGTGTCAGCGCTAGATGCAGATATTGATAACCATCTGCTGGGCCGTGTCAGCACCAAACATCGCCATTATACTTAAAAGGATATGAAAGATACAGCACTAACAAACAAATTCTAATATTTTTATTTGACCTGTGATCCCTTGTGACCTTGACCTTCATTTTGCACGAGACAGCTCAACTCAAAATGGAGAACATTTGCACTAAGTTATATCAAATCCATCCATGTATATAGAAGTTATACTCACCAATAAATGTTTTTTTGACCTTTGACCCCTAAGTGTGACCTTGACCTTTACCACAGACACCAGAATCTTTGCGTGACACTCTACCTTACTATGGAAAACATTAGTCCCGAGTTATAATACAAGAGGGCCATGATGGCCCTGAGGTCGCTCACCTGTATATAGCCCCCCCCCCCCGCGGCCCAATTTTTACCCAAGGGCTTTTATTTGTTTATTTGAACAGACTTGGTAGACACCCATAAGAAGATGTTTCATGCAAAACATCTAAGTTCTAGCTCATTGGGTTTTTTAAAAGAAGATTTTTTAAGTTTTTACTATACACATAGAGTAAAAAACAATGACACCCCTCGGGCAGGGCCAGTTTTGACCCCTGGGCTTTTATTTGAACAAACTTTGTAGATATTTACTTAAAGATGTTTCATGCTTAATATCTAAACTCTAGTTATTTGGGTTTTTTCAAAGAAGATTTTTAAGTTTTTGCTATGTATATAAGGAAAATCAATGACCCCCGGGGCGGGGCCAGTTTTGACCCCAGGGCTTTTATTTGAACATACTTGGTAGACACCCATTAGAACATGTCTCATGCTAAATATCTTAGCTCTAGCTCTTTGGGTTCTTTAAAAGAAGATTTTATAAGTTTTTACTATATGCATATAAGGAAAATCAATGACCCCTGGGGAGGGGCCAATTTGGACCCCAGGGGTTTATTTGAACAAACTTGGTAGACATTCACTAGAAGATGTTTCATGCCAAATATATAAGCTTTAGCTCTTACAGTTCTTTAAAAGAAGATTTTTTTAAGTTTTTACTATATGCATATAGGGAAAATCAATGACCCCCTGGGGCGGGGCCAATTTTGACCCCAGGGCTTTTATTTGAACAAACTTGGTAGACATTTACTAGAAGATGTTTTATGCCAAATATCTAAGCTCTAGCTCTTACGGTTCTTTAAAAGAAGATTTTTTAAGTTTAAACTATATGCATATAGGGAAAATCAATTACCCCCAGGGCGGGGCCAATTTTGACCCCAGGGCTTTTATTTGAACAAACTTGGTAGACATTCACTAGAAGATGTTTCATGCCAAATATCTAAGCTCTAGCTCTTTGGGTTCTTTAAAAGAAGATTTTTTAAGTTTTTACTTTATGCATATAGGGAAAATCAATGACCCCCTGGGGCGGGGCCAATTTTGACCCCAGGGCTTTTATTTGAACAAACTTGGTAGACATTCACTAGAAGATGTTTCATGCCAAATATCTAAGCTCTAGCTCTTACAGTTCTTTAAAGGAAGATTTTTTAAGTGTTTACTATATGCATATAGGGAAAATCAATGACCCCCGGGGCGGGGCCAATTTTGACCCCAGGGCTTTTATTTGAACAAACTTGGTAGACACTCACTAGAAGATGTTCCATGCCAAAAATCTTAGCTCTAGCTCTTACAGTTCTTTAAAAGAAGATCTTTTAAGTTTTTACTATATGCATATAGGGAAAATCAATGACCCCCCGGGGGCGGGGCCAATTTTGACCCCAGGGCTTTTATTTGAACAAACTTGGTAGACACTCATTAGAAGATGTTTCATGCCAAATATCTCAGCTCTAGCTCTTAGGGTTGTTTAAAAGAAGATATTTAAAGATTTTTCTTTCGGTTGCCATGGCAACCAGAGTTCTGCATGGAATTAAATTCTTTGAACAATTTTTAAAGGTGACCACCAAAGGAACATTCCTGTGAAGTTTGGATGAAATTGGCTCAGTGGTTTATGAGGAGATGTCATTTAAAGCAAAAGTTTACGGACGGACGACGGACGGACGACGGACGGACGGACGGACGCCGGACGAAAAGCGATCACAAAAGCTCACCCTGTCACTTTGTGACAGGTGAGCTAAAAATCCCTCCATGCATGTGGATGTTACACTCCGGACACAGGTTTTTCACTGACCCCCAAGTGTGACCTTGACCTCTTCTGCAGACCTGGGTTTTGTGTACGACACAACACCCCATCATGGTGAACATTTGTACCAAATTATTTTGTAATCCTTCAAAGAATGAGCAAGATATAGACTGGACAACTCTGGATGAACTGACGCACGGACGCACAATTACCGAACTATATGCCAAAAGTGGTGTCTATGACGATACACTAGAAATGTGCAAAATCATTTTATGCTCAAGCATTGTATATTTTTTAAGCCATTAATTGTCCTTGACTTTGTGGGACAGCCCTCATATTAGAGTTGCCAGCTTTAAATGATCTCCTTATTTAACAAACAACTTTTATAGCCTTTACACATAGTAGTATAAACTTCTGGTAAATCAAATTTATTACTTTAATGTAATTTATTATCTATTAGTTCAAGTTTTTACCTAACATACACCTGAGTTTGTTTTTCTTCAATGTAAACAATCTACTCTATTATATATATATAAACACTGTTAAAGTTTATACATTTAAAGTAAAGTTAAGAGCACCTCAAGATTATGATGCCAAAATGAAATATTTCCATATCCCCAGTAACTTTAAGTGTACTGAAGTATACTAAATGTAGTTCAAATAGTAAATAAAGTAAAGACAGCAGGGCAATGAGATTATCTTAACATGTATATATGTAAATATTCCATTAAATAACATAAGCTCTAAGTAAATCTAATTCCTAATGCAATAGTATTCAAAATATAAAACAAAATATTTTCTTTAACTTTTCAAAGAAAATGAATATTTACAAATGTCTTTAAATATCAAACATATCAAATATTCCCCGATGATATGACACAAAAATAAACAAAGCTATCTGATCTTTAAGTTCTTCTACCTCTCCTACCTTGAGGAATTAACTAATTATATACACAACAAAATTTAACTTGCTGTATTGTATGATACCTGGTACAAAAAGAAAGTCACATTCTATTAATTAAAGCTAATGCCTCCAGATAAGTCAAAATATTTTAATAACTAGAAATGTGCCATCATGCCATGGATGCCCCCGCATGCAGCCAAAATTTCAGATGGTGCATTAATTATTTTTTTCATTTTAAGTTCAAAGCCCTTAAAACTTTTCAATGTTAACACAAACCATTTTCATACAATGTTCAAGGCACTGAAATTATTCAGTCTTAACCTTTTAAAAATAGCATATTGCATATTTGTAGCCAAAATAATGGCTAAAAGTATGAGTGCTGAAACTGAAAGTTCAAAATTTTTCCAACATTCAGGAAAGATAAGTTTGTCTAAAATCATTGAACCACAACCAAATTCAAACTTAAACTGCTTATACCTAAGATGTATCTATATTATTTTCAAAGTGAAAGGGACATAACTCTGCCAAAAAATCAGCAAACCATGACCAAATTCCAATTTGACCTCCCCATTCCTTTGACATATCCATATGTCAAATTTAAGTTGAATATGTAACACTGTTGGGTAGATAATGAACAGAAACTGTAAATTTCATATTATTTTCAAAGTGAAAGGGGCATTACTCTGCCAAAAATCATTGAACCCTGACCAAATTCGAACTTGGCCTGGGCATTCCAAAAACATATCCATATGTCAAATTTGAGTTGAATGTGTTGTACCATTGGGGAGATAATAAACGGAAACTGAAAATTTCATATTACTTTCAAAGTGAAAGGGGCATAACTCTGCCAAAAATCATTGAACCATGACCAAATTCGAACTTGACATGTGCATTCCTTTGACGCATCCATATGTCAAGTTTGAGTTGAATGTGTTGTACCTTTGGGGAGATTATAAATGAACGGAAAGTGAAAATTTCATATTATTTTCAAAGTAAAAGGGGCATAACTCTGCCAAAAATCATTGAACCATGACCAAATTCGAACTTGACCTGTATTTTTTCATGAAATATCCATATGTCAAGTTTGAGTTGAATGTGTTGTACCGTTTGGGAGATAATAAACGGAAACTGAAAATTTCATATTATTTTCAAAGTAAAAGGGGCATAACTCTGCCAAAAATCATGGAACCATGACCAAATTTGAACTTGACCTGTATTTTCTCATGATATATCCATATGTCAAGTTTGAGTTGAATGTGTGCAACCGTTCTTAAGATAATGAACGGAAACTGATGATGACGTATTTTACATATTATGTGCGATTAACAACTGATTTTTCAGTATTTACAACTATATTTCTACTGCGTTACTTATAAACACAGTAAAGGCTATTATAGAATTATGCATATTTTTACCTCTTTTTGGTAATTTACGTGGTTTGTAAGTGCCATTGATAATGTGTAAACTACGTGTATACTTCCTTTTTTGTTACTTCACAATATTACTCATTTAAATACAATGTACATTTTGAAAATTTTCATGAAAATTAGCATGAATCTGGAGGCGTGCTGCTTTAAAGCCCGGAAACATATAATGTGGTGTGTTTTTTTCTGTATAGAAAGGTTATTGCCTCTGGACATCAACTGCAAAATATTAAGTTCTTAAAATATTTATTTACAGGGCATTTTTCATCCTATCACGCTGGGCAAAAATAAAGCACCATTTCCATTCCAAAACAGCCTGACTTTTCCCCAATTACATGAAAATATAAATCTGACTGATAGTGCTCTAATGGCTGGTTAATTTTCAACTGGACATGAAATTTGACATATGCTATCATATAAATGTAATATCTCATTAAAATAATGTTCAGCTTCAGTTTAAAATTAACTATTAATATAAAACAAAATGTTTTATCTATCTTAAAACTTTATGGAAAAAAAATATACATGGAAAGACAATAAAAAATTTTGATTAGTTTACTATTCTATGGTAAATGATATTGCATTATGTACTGTGGTAGGCTATAAACTATCTAAACAACAATACACCTTTGAGATGTCATTTATTGAGAATAAATGTCATGTGTATTTATTTAAAATTGGGAGTAACTAAATGTTTACAGTTTCTCAACCTTCAATAATAAAACCACAAAAAATAAGTAAACCTAAAAACTACTTAAACATTAACATTGTTGTAATACAACATTATGAATAATACAACATTAATAATAGAATACAACATAAATCAGCATGTATGATATAATACTAACAAAAACTGTGTAATTTACGATTAGGTTAAAGTTTATTAGTACGTATTTCAAAATTAAATTGGTCATCGCGTCTGACAAATTTAATTTTGTAAATACGTACTAATAAACTTTAACCAGCTTAGTGTTTTAAATTATTTTTATAAACAGTCAATTTACTAGACTGATTAACAGTTCGCCAATGTGTTACATTCACAAAAAATAGTTTCAAAAACTAATAATGAAATAAATTAAACTTGTAAAATATTAAAATTAGAAATATAATAAATATAATAAAGTAAAGAGGTACGGAGTGTTTACCTTTAGACTTTATATCCTACAGCGTAATGTGTGAGATATCAAATAAATCAGCCAAAATTTTAATTTCAATACGTTAACGTGATAAAATTTAATCCTGATAAAAAAATTGCATTATCAGCTAAGATTTTCACACCTTAAACCAGCTCTGTTCAAACTATGGTGCTCTAACCTATTTTAAAAATACTTTAGTTATAAAAATTTAAACTATTCAATATAATTTGTAATATTTGGCCATTTTTCAAGAGTTCATTTATAAATCAGGTTGGCTGTAATCCATTTATAACCGGACTATCTTAATTTCATCTCAATAGCATTCAACCACAAAATTACTAAATTCAATTTAACTTCGGTACTCCCATTTAAACCAACTTTAAACATTTTTGGCAAGTACCAACTTTAGATTATATGATACAAAACAATTACTCTAAAATTAAAGATGCTGTAAGTGCCAAATAATTCCACAATCTATTATTATACTATAAAACTTTATAACCTGTATTGTTATATATTGTATTGAAAAAGTGTCAAAACTCCATTAACTGACTCAATATACTAACATTTCTATTCTATTTCTTATTCTTCAAGGTCATTAAAATCAGTTCTTAACCAATTACTATTTAATGTATGTAAGTTTAACATGAAAATAGGTATTAATTTTACAATATATTAAATGAAAAACTGAAATGAACATAGAACATAGTATAGCTATATGTTTTGTTAACAAGGAAAAAAGACAGATTCATGAAATCTAAGCCAATTTGACACAGTTTTTAAGATCTTTATCATACATTTGTAACTATAATATGAAAGTAAATCATAGCTATAGAAATTAAAAATAAATTTATTTATTAATGTGTTCATGATTATTTCAGTTGTGACTAAATCATCTGCACAGAGATTAAATAAGTTCACATTTTGTTTTCACATGAAAGGTAAAAGTTTAAAGATCTTGTATGCTGTAGTTCAGGTTGTTACCTTTTTGTTTTTTAAAATGCGTTTATTTAAGGTCGCCGCCGGAAAGCCCATATGGGCGACCGTACACTCAAGTCGGGCCATCCTAGAGCGTCCCGCCGAGATTTTTTCGTCAATTTTTTTCCAGCTTTATTGGTGAAGGAAGACCCCAGGTGCCCCTTCGGGCATTATTTCAGGCACGAGCGGGCACCTGGGTAGAACCACCGACCTGCCGTAAGCCAGCTGGATGGCTTCCTCACATGAAAGATTTTGACCTGAGTGAGGATCGAACCTACAGCGGTGAGGGACCTGTGATCTCAAGTCAGCGACCTTAACCACTCGGCCACGGAGGCCCCTATAGGTTGTTACCACACTTAAATGAAATTATATATATGTATATAATTATGCTACATAAACAATTTTCAAACATTGAAGAATATGTGAAATATGTACTGCAAATATTTGTCCACATTATAATGTAAACATTAAAATATATGCATTCATTTCTTATTGAATAATTTGACTTGGACTTTATAGAACATAAATTTCTAATTACCTCCCTTTATTAACGTGAAAATGTAAATTCAGTAATATCTTTACAAACAATGCTTTTTGGAACTTACACTATTGATAAATTTTCATTTGAGCATTATATTTATGATATAAAACTATAAAAAAAAATTGTGCTACAGGATCTTTAAAGGCTTCCACGAAAGGTATAATGATGTTTGTAATTACAATACACAATGGGGCCTTATTTCCACCCCTGGTGATAGGGTGAAAATGACCTGACTGTTTAGTATAGCAATAACGCATTTTTTTAAAATGTAAATCAATGAATATGTGGACTTAATGATCAACATTATTTTTTGTCCAATCACATTGCAGTATTTTTCAAATTTCTGCTTAGTCTAACTTTGGTTAATGTGTACTAACTAAATAAAATTTACTTAATCTGTCGTCTAACCAGTCTAACAAATTTCAATAATGCATTATATTAGGGAGGAGTTAGAGGTGTGGTTTGTTCTATGAATTTTAAAATATCTAGGTTTTCAAAACAATGCCAACGTTACTTTTTAAAGGTCAAGTGTTTCTAAATGTGAGGATACAATCAAATTTATTACACAGATAATACATGTGGGGCACGCAGAGACAATGATTACATAGTAACTTTTTTATATCCTTTTAACTCTAAGAAAAATGTCTGTTATAAATTGCTGACTGTTTTAAACTCTATATTTTCCAAAACATTATTTTCCTTCAGTTGATAGGAATGAACTATATTAACAATCCTTGACATTAAGAATACAATGTTTACATTTTGTGGCTGGAAAACTCATTGTAAATGGACCTGTACACCTAAATTGACACACAGAAAAATAAAAAAAAGCAAATCAATAGGGATTTTAAATGTTTTGTATCAATTCATAATTTCTAATGTATTTTTCTCACATTTTCCATTAATTTTATTTTTTAAAGGATGTACACATTTTATTAACTCCATTGTTTTTATCTAATTGCATCATTTTCCTGGCTGTTTTTTCCCCACATATTTTATAGTCTTACTGTAGATAAAGGTATAAATTCTGTGACATTTCAGTAAAAAATGTGCCTGATTATATGTTGAAAGGGCCATTTAATTAGCTTATCTAAATGTGACATGTTAGAAACTTGACAAGGTGTAGACATCTTGTAGAGAGAAAGGGCGGAGCTATCAGTGATTTAGAGCAATGCCTTGTTTTTGGTTTAAAAAAATAATGTTGATCATTAAATAGGTTAATGTTTAATAATATGCATTAACAAAAAATAATTGGTCGCCTGCCTGCGGCAGGCTTGACCAATTATTTTTGTTAATACATATTATTAAACACTAACCTATACTTGTTTTGTTAGAAAATGTTACAATAATAAATGAAAACCTAATTCTTTAAATATTATAGTATTATGATACACAAAAAAAATTGTTTTCTTTATTGAAACTATAAGTATAATAAGTTTATTATAATTAATTAAACATTATTAAAATCACCGTCATTTCTAATAATATTTTCTATACAGACATGAAATAGACAGTAATATAATGTTTTAACCTTACTGACCACTCACCTCATAACAACAACTACATTAACAACAAAATTTTATTCGCTGTAAGACCCATGCAACGAATTAATACTATTACAAACAACTAGCCCCCACTTAAGAGATGATTTGCCTTCTTTATAATAAACATGTATATATTTTATTCATTTGGTTTCGAATGACTCAAGAAATACGTATTTTGCAGACATTATGGAAAACTTTCAATTTAATTAGGAGATAAAATAAGACAAGAGCACTGTATGTGGTGTAAATGCTCCCCTGAAAAGGACAACCACTATAACATACCAACTTTCATAAAACAAGAGGGTCATGATGTCGCTTTTAGCTCACCTGATTATTACAGATCTTAATGACAAGGAATAATTAATATTGTAAGCTATGAGTGAAAAGCAGATATAATTTCGTAACCTTAAATGAACATGTATTTTAAACTCATTCCATATTTTTTTAATATTACTCTATAAAATATACATACAGGTGCCTATTATCCAGAAGATAGCCCAATATATCACTGTTTACATCCTCATGAGGTCTTTGACAGAAAACAATGATACATAATAGGGCACTTGTGGGGAGGGGTAGCATTCAATTCCTTATTGACTAGATGACATATTTCATATGAATATAATTAACAAACAACAAAAACTAAATATACAGTCGACTCCACTTATAACAAACTTGCTTCTAAATAACGAATTATAGTTAATAGCAAACTAAATTTGACATCCACGGCCGATTCTTTCTTTATTTTATATTAAATCACATCGCTTATTACATACTCGCTAAAATAAAACGAATTTTTGGCTATAGCGAACCATTTTTTCAAGTTCAAAACGGCGAAAAACATGTAAATTTCCTCAGTTAAAACAAAATGTTATAATTGAAATATCGGGATGTTCTCAATTAAGATCAGTACATGAATAATGCTATCCGATAATTATTCAATCGAGTGATTGCACAGGTAAGAATAAAGTTTTTGATAAAATGTTCTCACAACATAATTTCATACTTGTTATGGAAAATTTGTATTTCGCATCCTCAGTTGATAAATTGCTGTAAATACCCGATAATTACCAAATAACCATTTTTTTGTTTGCAATATTTAACAAACAATAACAAACAAATAGTAAAACTGTAAAAGAATAAAAATGGTAAGCACTTTATAGACAACAAGTACTTCATGTCTAAATACATGTACCATGTACATAATATATAATTCAATAAAATGACTCACATTAAATTACCACTGCCGTAAAATACTGATTATATCGGTAACCAGTGACATGTATACCTTTTTCACGGCAAATTTACCCACCCAAACACGTCAGCAAGTTGTTGCTACTTCACTTAAAACTTTGGATAAAACAAACAATATTAAAATGTCCCATTGAGTTCGTTATGAGCAGAGTCGAGTGTATTAACAACCTCACAGTCATGGTTTAGAATTGTTCACTATTCAGGGGAGAAAATGTGTAAGTGGCCAGACAGCACAATCTGCCAGCTTCGAGTCCTGGTCAGGCAAATTTTCCTCACCCTCATTTGGCGACAATATGGGACTGTGATTGCATATAGCTCTAAGTTAAATTCACAATGTTTTACAACCCTGAGATTTAAGGAAGAAATACATCAATCTATCTATAGATACTACATCACACCCTTTCGAGTATTTTAGTGCAGGTGCAAATCACTTGTCAGTGCAAGAAATTAAAAGAAGAAATGTACAGGAGAAAAAAAATAATACAAAAATGTATTTGTAAGAAAGTTGATAGTGGTAAAGATCCTATAATTCAATTGAATATTTTATTGTTTTATATCATAAGTCTGATACTCAAAATGAAGATTAAAATTATCATTAATCAATATTGTAAGTTCAAAAAAGCATAAAGATATTACGAATTTAAATGTAAATACAGGGAGGTAATTAGAAATCTATTTTCGATCAAGTCTAAGCCAAATTTTCTAATATTTTTGGATGTTTGGAAATTGTTTCAGAAGAATCATTATATACATAATTATATAAAATTTCAGTTAAGTGTTTTTACATCCTTAATTACAACATAAGGATCTTTAATAAAAATGATGAGATAAACAAAAACATAAATAGTCTGTATGCTCACG